GGGAACCCCCCCCCCCCCAGGTATTTCTTCACAGAGGTTCGAATGTTTTCTTTAGTGCAGACCTCACTGATGCAGCAGATTTTTACATTCATGAAGAAAGAATAAAAAAAGGAAGGGAATATGCCAAGATATCAATAGTACTTATGAGGGAGGAAAATATTGATGATTCTATTTGCTTTGGATTTTTTTAGACTAGACTTAGACTTTCCTGTAGTTTTTATTCTCCACATCCTCTGCAATGAACTTGGACAATCAAGAAGAAAAAAGACAGGTTACCCTTTGACAGGAAGTCCGTAGTCTATAGGCCATGCCATGTTGTAAATGCTTGTGGTCAGGACAAGCAGCCCCCAGGTTGCCATAGCAACCAATTCACCTTACCCCATCCTTTTCGAAAGTGAATTACCTACCTTGCCCCTGAAGGTATTTGAGAGCATGATCATCTCTATAAAGATGTTGGTCTTTTAACAGGAAAGCCCAAACACCTTCAAGACTCAAAGACTGGATTTCTCATGGGGAATTTCCAGCCCCATGACAGGTTGGTGGAGAAGTAACCCAGATTATAATACCTGCAAGCAACCCAACGCTTTGCCACTTTTATTGGGCAAAACCAGAGGAAATTTCCATGACTGCTCTTTGTTTCCCATATCTGAGAATTTCATCACCCCTTTTAGAGTAAAGAGATAGCTTAAAGTGGAGGAAAAGTGGGAACCTGAAGCAGAGGAATGAGCTGGATGCTTTCACAACCACAGCTCTAGGAATGAGACATACAAATTAGTGCAGACCTCCAAACTCATCTTTACTATCCTCTTGTATGCTTCACTGCCTTGCTGGGCAGACCCTTCAGCTGTCAGCTTTCTTTCTGGAGTCCTTGCACATGGCTGTGACCTCCACTGCTTTCTAGCTGTGTGACCTTGAGCGTGTTACTTCACAGCTCTTGTCACTAAGTCTTTATCTAAAAAACAAACAAACAAAACTGATAACAGTCCCTTCCTTGTGGAACTGTTGAGAAAATTAAATGAAATAATATAAATAAAGTAGACAGCTCAATGCCTGGAATGTAATAAGCACTCAATACCTGTTGCCTATTATAATTGCCATCACCAACATGATAAGCATCATCTATTTACTATTCCAACTCCGCCTCTGTAATTTTGGACAACAAACTGCCAAATGCTCAGGACATGAACAGATTCCTTTGGACAGCCTCACACAAGAACAGGAGTGCTAGGATCACATAGTTGTTGATCTGCATTTTGGCTCTATCATTTATCAGCTGTGTAACCTTGTTTAAGTTACTAAGCCATTCTGGACTACATGTCCATCATCTGCAAATATTAAAGCAAGATAAAAGAGAGATAACTAAAGCATCACCCTCACAAGTCCATTTTAAGGAATGAATGCATAGCATAGCAGCTGGCATCAAGTATGTGCTCAATAAATGATAATCCCTTCCCCATAAGGATGACATTCAAACTTCAAATTCACTTCACTAGTGAGAACAGCCCAAGGAAAAGTTTCAAAATAAGTAAAATTTATAACCACAGTCCTTCAATCCCCATGTAACATAGTCGATTTCTCACCCCAAATGCCCACACATCTTACATAGCTGCCTATCTGTCCTTAGACACCCCAAACATACATACCGAGGACCATTCCCCCACGTTATCCCAGGAGCCCTTACAGACAATGTCCATAATGTAGAACTTTTTAGTTCCCCTCTCTGACCAACTTTACCCGATTTGGGTCCCATTACACTAAAGCTTTTTTAGAAGACTGGGTAGTGCTGTAAGATCCTCTTGATTGATAATAGTTAAGTGTTTAATAACTCACCCTTGCTTTTGATAAGCACATACATGAGTAAGAATAAATACAAGGATTCGAGGCTCTCATCATTCTTAAGAACAGAAATCATCTTCAGCCACATAGCATAGTAGGACATTACTATCTGAAGAAATTCTTGCCCAGGAAGATTAAATAGTTTTATTAAACAGATTTATTTCCTTCTGTTTCAGGAACTTCATGAAAATTCATTCATATGAACTACTGACAATTCAGCTAGCCCTTTTCAGGACTGTGGCCCCCTTCTCATACAAGAAGACCACTCAGCTGGGCTTATCAAACATCCCTCCCCAAGACTTGCCTCCAAACCCTCTCCTCACTGGATCCCCCAACTGAGCAATTATATCACAAACACTGCCTGATCTTCATCAGGACTCCACATGCAAATACCCACCTGGAGCCACAGCACTCACACTGTATAATATCCCACCCTAGAAATCCCCCTTTGGAGACATTACTACAACCCAAGATAATGGTAACCTTAACTACAGCAAACAATCCACTGGCCTCTGCAACAGTGCTCTTTTCAGGGAGTCAATTTAGAAGATGTTTCTGGACAAAGCAGGCTTTTACCAAGACTCCTAAATCATATTACATGAACAATAAGCTGCCTGTTTTGCCACTGTAATACCAGTTACAATTACTGAGTATTTATTCACTGAAAGTTTCCTATGTGCTCAGCATTGGGCTAATCATTTTACATGATCATCTCATTTATCTCATGGAAATGCTTGAAGATAAGCATTATTTGCCTCCTCTTACAAATGAAGACACAGAGGCTGAGAGAAGTTAAATAACTTATTCAAGTCCTGAGAGCTTATAAATGGCACGTGGAGAATTCAAATGGAATCCCCCATCTGCCTCCAAAGCTGACATCCCACATCATTATCCCCAGTGCTGGTTTGTACAGATTACACTGTTTTGCATTCAGATAAAGACCTTTAACGGTTACCAGGAGAACCAGCTTCTTGAGGAGGGTTTCCGAAAGGCTGAAGGAGATGATGTCCGCGGAACAGCTGAGGTGCTTGAGGGGCGTGGCTTTCAGCCAAATCGAACCTGGCACAGTCCCTCCGGCCAGTCGCCCTCCTCCGTCTTCTCTGCTCCCTCCCAGGCCCCTAAATTGTGGCGAAAGTTGATTTCTAATAGGAGACTCAAGAAGGTTTAAAGAGCCATCACCCTTGCTTTTGATAAGCACATACATGAGTAAGAATAAATACAAGGATTCGAGGCTCTCATCATTCTTAAGAACAGAAATC